GTTGGTTAATAATGTACCCTGACCCTCCAAGTATGCTGGCGAATCGGAGGCTCTCTGGCGGAAGACCGGCTCTTACTTGAGCAACAGGTGCAAGAGCTCTTTTGCACCCACGGCATGGCGTCTGGGCTGGTCTCAGGGCCGGTTTTGTCAGCAAAGCCAACTGTCTTTTTTTTGGTGTTTCCCTTTCAGGGTCCTTGTAAATAGGAATCCCACAGTTTGGGGGGGGGGGGGTTTAGGGTTTAGGGTTTGGGGTTTGGGGTTTGGGGTTTGGGGTTTGGGGTTTGGGGTTTGGGGTTTGGGGTTTGGGGTTTGGGGTTTGGGGTTTGGGGTTTGGGGTTTGGGATCGCGTTTAGGGCTTAGGGTGTGCCTTGGAACCCCTTGTTTTGATGAAGAGCTGCCGCTCTTTTTGGCTGGTTTTCGGCGGCGTGCTGGTATGGTGGTTTGCCTTTATTTTGGCCGCCAAAGCAGGAAAATCTACAGAGATGTTTGTTCCATCGGCTGATAAATGCCCTAGTTTTTCCCTGTCTCAGCTCTCAATTCTTCAAAACATTCGAAATTCCAGGGTGCTTTCTCTTCGTGGGCTCTGGACCACAAGCAACATGGCCCTTTGACCAACTGGAACCCATTTTGCTGGTTCGCCACCTAACAGCGAATCTTCCCTTGCTTCCCCCTGCACACTCAATGAGAAAGTGCCCTTGAGGCAAGTTGCATGAAAAAAGCCGGCGTTGACATTCGTGCTGAGGTGTGGGGTTCCGCACGATGTCTACGTTGGGTCGTATACTTGGGGGTTTAGGGTTCAGGGCTAAGGGTTGCAGGGTTTGTGGCAAGCGTGGGGCTATGACGTCCACCTTGCAGGGTTAACCCTAAACGCCTAAGGGCCTAAACCCTGAACCCAAAACCCTAAACCCTAACCGAGGAGGCAGAGGCGGAGACAGCGACGATCCAAGTGGATGAGCCTGAGCCGGACAGCTCAGCTCCTCGCTCAAGAAATAGGTTCTAAGCCCTAATTCCCTAAACCCTAAACCCCAAACCCCAAATCCTCAACCCTAAATCCTCAACCCTAAACCCTAAACCCTAAACCTAAGCCCTAAACCCTAAACCTAAACCCTAAACCCTGAACCCTGAACCCTGAACCCGAAGCCAGGCCGAAAACATTCCCTAAACCTAGGCTCACAGGGCCGAGGAGTGGGAGCCGGTGACCCACGCCGTCGTGCCGAGAGGGGTACACGGAGACGCACTGCATCGGTTCAATGCCTACGTAAGGCTGAGCAAGCTCTGTGCTTCTGCCCTGAATCCTGAGTCCTAAATCCTGAACCCTAAGCCCTAAATATCCCTAATTCCTAAACCCTACACCCTACACCTTAAACCCTAAACCCTAAACCCTAAACCCTAGATGTCCCTAAGCCCTGAACCCCAAGCTTGGCAGAGTTGCCTTGTGGGAAGGGGTCCACTTCACGACGCGGTGTTAGAGCAGACCCTTGGCTCTTCTAAGTCCCGAGTTGGAAGGGTTTGTGGTTGAGGGTTTAGGGTTTAGGGTTTAGGGTTTGGGGTTTAGGGTTTAAGGTTTAGGGTTGCTGTAAAAGGGCGTAGATGCTGTGAAGGTTAGGATGCAGCAGAGGCTCGAAAGCCTCGTCAGGTGCGAAGAGCAGCTCTGGCCCGATTGTGTCAGGCCATTTGAAACAACCTTTCTCCCACCCCACGCCGTCCGGCGGCACCCGAACTATTCCTTTCAGGGTTGAGGCCTAAACTCGGGACAATCGCTTACTTGCAAGAAAACGTCTTCCGTCACCAGAATTCGCTTGCAGCCAAGGGGTAGGTTCCAGTCCAGGGGGTCCCAGAAAGTTGTGGTCGGTTTCAGGGTATGCATGGGAAGGGGGTGCCAGAGCTTTCACGAGATTTCGGGAAGTTTCAGGGTTTTTGGTTTTTGGCACGCTGCGGCGAGGGCTCCGGGGATCCCCCTGGCCAGGGGCCTGGGGGTAGCCCCAAAATCGACGTACAAGGTTTAGGGTAATCACTTTTTCAAGGGGACCAGGACTGGTCCCGAGGAAAAAACGGGTTCCGGTGCCGGACCCTACATGGGTGCTGCCGAACTGCGAGCTGTGAAGGCGGGCGAACGACTGGGGAGGGGCTTAAGCGCCGCCTTCTCACTGTAGGCGGTGCGGCCTAAGCCTTGAGTTTACTTAGGGTTTAGGGATGTTTCGGGTTTAGGGTTCAGGGATATTTGGGGTTTAGGAGTATTTAGGGGTTTGGGGCTCAGGTTTGGGTATCCGTTGGCTTCTTCTAAGTCCTTTAGGCCTTTGGAGTACTTTTGAGAATTCTATCGTGAGGCCTTGGTGTTGCAGAAAAGTAAGGATGGGAAGCGAGCTTTATATCCCCTGGCACATCTGCATGGCTGCTCTGTTGCCAGACGACGCCCGACTCTTTCGCTGGGAAAGGCTGTGTTTCTTGTTTCGGGCTTAGGGTTTAGGGTTTAGGGCCTTGCCAAACTCGGGTGCCTTCGAATCATGTTGGGAAAATAAAGCAAAGCCTTCGACATCGGGTCTGTTCGAAAATGTGATGCCCTGTGGGGATAGAATATCTGGGTCTATTTACAGGGTCTGCCGATTTTTCGCCACAAGAACAGCCCTGCAAGAAGGGGTTCTAAGGGGCATGGCGATGCGTGGGCAGAGCGCTGCGGGGGGTGGGGCATGGGAACTATAGCCCCCTCAGGACACAATTTTATTCGTACATAATTTATATACAAAACCCAAGGTCTTAAGGTTCTAAGGGGAGTATAGGGAAAAGGGAAAAAGTTTCAGAGGTCCTCTACTCTGCAGTGAACATCCTCGGCTGTGACAACGGCACCTGCCAAACCTCGGCGGCCGAAGCGGGCTTTGCCTCGGTGGAAGGCTACATGGCCACGCAGCTCCTGGTTTCTCGCCGCTGACCCAAGCCAACCTCCCAAAAAACCTGACAAAAAAGCCTTAAAAGGCCCTAGCAAAAGCTTAGCACCTTTCAAACCACCCTGAAAAGCAATCCAGACAAAAACAGCTCCTACAAGCTAAGGAACTCTTAGAAAATGACTACGCTCCACATTCATCCCTGAAATCCATCAAAATTCCGTGAATGCCCCGCTCGGGTTCCAAGCAGTCAGAACTCAGGCTTGGATTCTCTGCTTGATGCTCTCGATACCAATCTCCTACCCAGCTCTGCTGCATATGATCCAGCTTCCTGGCCCTTCTTTCAGTGGCATCCCTCCTGTTGTTGTTTTGCTTTTTCTTTGAGTGGGTTCTCCTTTGACCAGCAGCTTGGGGAATTAACACAGAATTACCTAAGAAGTTGCCTAGGTTGGCGATGAAGATCGGCGCTGGACCCCTACAAAGCTTGGTGGCCATGCTGTGCTGCCCCCTGGCCTATGCCTACTCCAACGCCTGCAGCGGCGTCATCTGGGGCTGCCTCTACTGCCTGGCCTTGGACTACTCCCAAGCTTGGCTCACCGGATTCCTCCTCTTTCTTGCTTTGCTCACCCTGCACTTCTGGCTGCTCTTCCTGAGGCAGGAAGGCCAGGAGAGAAGCGCAGCATCCTGCAGGTGTGTCCGGCGTCAGGTAAACACCTTGCCGAGAGTTTCAGAACACACTTCCTTGCTGTGATCTTTAGGAGATGGCTCCAGAGGAGCCCCCAGATGATCCTGGGCTCCCCTACTACCCCCCTCTATCACCCCCCCCTTAGGTTCCCCCCATAGCTAAGGCCTCTTTAGGGAGAATGAAGCCGATGCAGAGGATTATTTACCGGGGGGAACCTAGGGAGGGCGAGAAAAAGAGGGCTGTAAGGAAACCCATGAGACGAACACCCCAAAGTGGAGCTTTGGCGAGGGCGTAGCGAGCTGGTTCTTCAGATCTGAACTGACGGCCTCGCTCCCGAAATCGAAGAGAAGTCGTGCGGTGGGGGGTATAGGGAGTTGAGGGCTTTTGGGGTTTCTGCTGTTGTAGTTGCCTCGGCTCCTTCAGCTTTCCCGGTTCGCATCTCTTTGGGTTTTAGAGATCCTTTGTGTGGGGTGCTCTTTAAAACTCTTATAAGCCCAAAACCCAAAAACCCTAAACCAGCCCCACGCTTCCTTTGATCGGTGGTGCGTGGCTCATAGGCCTTCAGTGAGGTAGCCTCTGCAGTTCTACTGGGCGGGAAGTCGAAGCTGGGGTTTAGATTTGTGCAGTCGTGAGAAGCCTTTCATTTTTTGCAGCTGCTTCGGCTGCTTGAGGGTAGATGTTTAGTTCGCATTCTGCCAAAGTTGCGAGTGACCGGAGCTCAGACACCAGAGTCGCAGACTGCCTGCATGCCGAGTGGTTCGGGGAACTCGGGGACCATTTGTGAGCTTAGGCCGCGCGAGGGCTGCATTGTTGGGCCGCTGCGCCGCAGGATGCCCTAAACCCTAAACCCTAAACCCTAAACCCTCAACCCTCAACCCTCAACCCTCAACCCTCAACCCTGAACCCTGAACCCTGAACCCCTCCGCACCCATCAAAAACTCCCCGCGATCTGAGGGCCCTCGTTTCGTGACTCCGCAGCAGAATCTGCGGGGCCCTCAGCTCGAAGAACTTCCTGAAGCAGAAAGCCCTAGATCCTACAGGGTTTAGGGTTTAGGGTTTAGGATTTAGGGTTTAGGGTTAATCTCTACCCAGTTTCCGAGGGTTTGAATAAGGATGCCGAAGACGCAAGGATCTGGTAAAGTAACCGGAAGAAGAACACAGCCCTAAACCCTAAACCCTAAACCCGAAATTATAAACCCTAAGCCCTAAACCCTAAACCCTGTTCGTTTTGACCATGCTTTCTGGCCGCTTCTGGCCCTCTGCGTCAAGCTGCAAGACATTGTGAGCTTGATGCGAGCAAAGGTTTGTCCACGCAGGAAGGTCAGTTGAAGAAAGTCGTCTCCTTCTGCCGGGGCTTATTCATTTTACCAAGCACGGTGTCTTGAGCACGGCGTGGTGAGAGCTTCTGCCCCCCATCTGCTCCTGAGGCCCCCAAGATGCCCCGCAAGAGCAAGAAGACGTGGGAGAGCGGGCCTGCAAGAGGAGTCGGAGCCTCATCCGACAGGAATCGTGCATGTGAGCGCAGCGCGTGCGGTTTGCACTTGATAGCATTCCAACCCAAAGAAGGCCTTGAAACAAGCAAGGAACATAGGAACATCAAGGAAAAACACACAGTGAGGCACCGCCTTCTCAACATCATGGACGGTTTCTCTTCAGAAGCATTGGGGTTCTGCGCTTCAAGTTTAAGGGTTGCATGTGCTTCCCCTAGACCCTAAACCCTAAACCCTGAACCCTGAACCCTGAACCCTAAACCCCGAGGTCAGAGTTGATGAAGCAGAGCAGGTCCGAGAAGGCCGGGAGCGGTCCTAGGAGAGTGGTGCCTTTGCTGCCTGGCTCTTTGACAAGAATGGTGCCAGGTACGGGCACGGGCACCAGTGCAAGCAGCAGGACGGCCGAAAGCGCAGCCGAGCGCAAGGACCGAAGGGATTCAACAGCCCTATGGCTCAAGAATTCTCAGGTTTAGGGTATTTAGGGTTGAGGGTTTGGGGTTTAGGGTTTAGGTTTTACTGTACATCGCTGCACAGATACCATGCGTCGATGGTCCGTGTTTTCTTGGACTCACGTGCTTCCCGCGATGGGCATGGGCCCATGCTGCTGATCAGCAAGAGGAGTCACGAGGAGATTGTGTCGCCCCCAAGTGAATGCTTGGACCATCTGCGAAACAACCCTGCGCACGGTAGGACGACAACGCATCAGAAGTGGCCCGACCCTGAGAAATGTTGTTCTGTCGCCGCTTATCCTGTTGAAGCAGCCCGGTCCCTTGCAACCCTAAACCCTAAACCCTAGACTCTAAACCCTAAACCCTAAACCCTAAACCCTAAAACCCTAAACCCTAAGCCTGAGACGCTTTAGATTATGTTGTATGTGAGTGCCGGCTATGAGTGCCAGTGCTTTTTGGACTCTACATCTTGCTTCTTGCGAGCCCTCTTATCCCCACTGTTCTAACGCTGAAGGTTTCTCATCCAGGAGGGGCGACTGGAAAACTGTCACTTCCCCAGTCTAGTGGACGATGGTGAATTCTTTTTGCGATCACTGCTCCAGGGCGGAGCACGTCTGTGAGTTGCTGCCTTGAAGGCCCTGCGACGTGACCTTTGACGTTCAGCTCTCACAACCTTCGAACTGCGCGACGAAGCCTGTAGGAGCAGCAGGATGCCAAGTCGATACAAGATCCCGGGGGGAGGGAGAGGGTAGGGGATGAGACGATTTGGTCCCTAAACCCCAAACCCCAAACCCTAAACCCTAAACCCTCAACCCTCAACCCTAAACCCTAAACCCTAAACCCTCAACCCTAAACCCTAAACCCTAAACAAGTGGGACAAAGGAATGTGCTTGTGGTGGTGTGTGGGGGAACTGCTGCATGGTCAAGTCCCTAGCTTGCCAAAGCGCCAACACAGCCCGGAACAGAAAAGGCTCAAGCGCAGTGAAACACCAGGGCTTCGACACAATTGTTTGGAGCTTCTGTTTTTTCCTAAACCCTAAACCCTAAAACCCTAAACCCTAAAACCCTAAACCCTAAAACCCTAAACCCTAAAACCCTAAACCCTAATCTCTGTGCTATTCGGTTCCCAAGCCTAGAGAAGCCCAGGCCAGTGAGAACGAGATCGGCCCGCTGCGTGAGCATGCTGAGGCTGCTGATTCTGGACGAGCGAGGGGCCGGACAAGTGCTTTCTGTGAAAATGTTCTGAATTCTCACAAAGACCTAAACCCTAAACCCTATAAACCCTAAACCCTAAACCCCTACACCCTAAGCCCTAAACCCTAAGCCCTAAACCCTAGACCCTAAACCTTGATAAGAAGACCCGGTGGCTGGCTTTGGAGGCCGGAAGACACAAGGAATGCGCAAAGGAGATGGGCCAGTCAGGTTGGGCAGACAGTCCTTGGCCTTCTTCTGGCTTGCTCTTAGGGTTTAGGGTTTAGGGTTTAGGGTTTGGGGTTTGGGGTTTGGGGTTTGGGGTTTGGGGTTTTAGGACTTTAACTTTTTGGGTTTTCAGGAACCTACAATAAGGAGCCTAAAAGTTAGGGTTTAGGATTTAGGGTTTTGGGTTCAAAAGTCAGCCAAGAGTCCCTTCAAATCCCACTAGATTAGGACCCGGAGTAGGCGCTTATTCCTTTTTTGGGGTTGGGGGCCCCTTGTAATCCCCTTAAAACCAAAAAGGGTACTCTTTTTATCCTTAAGTTACTCCCATAGTAGAGCAAAATGAAAACCTAAGGACATGCGCTCACAACCGCAGGCAATCGCAGCGCACTTGCCACCGATCAGGCCATCAGAGATCCGCGTGACATTCGGTTGTATTTTGTTGGGCGTTCAAGCCATTAGCAGTCCTGCAACTTTCGGTTGTAAAGCGGTAGCACGCTCACCAGACACGATAGCAAGCACGACGGCATGTGTGCTTGCCTGTCTCACCGTTTAACAGCCTATCGTATGGTCCTTGCGGTACTCGCAAAAGCCTCACAAGTGTTACAAGGCTTGACACCGAAAGTCGTGGTACAGCCAACAGGCTTTTTGCTGAGTTGGAGATGCCAATCTCAAAGAAATTCACACTCTAATACACAAACCAAAGTGCGAAAACTGTCCAGAAGCACAAGCCTGCGCTTTTACTTAAGCGTAGGAGTCAGGATCGACGTGGTTTCAGGACGTTCTCCACCTGAGTTTCGATGGAACCCCTCAAGTGCCGCGGGATTCTTGCAGTCCTCGCTTGGAACACTGTACTTAGGGTTTAGGGTTTAGGGTTTAAAGGGTTAAGGGTTAAGGGTTTAGGGTTTAGGGTGTGTGTGTGTGTAGGGTTTAGGGTTTAGGGTTTAGGGTTTAGGGTTTAGGGTTTAGGGTTGAGGGTTGAGGGGGAGGTGCGACAGCAATCCACTGTCGCAGCTAGTGCAAGTAGCCAAGTTCTCTGCGACTGCTCTGAACATGTCCCTCAGGGCAACAACAATAACATCATTGGAGACAACAAGGCCAACAAGGCTGGGCCATGCTGGGTACGGTCTGATGTCAGCTCACACCGGTGTTGAGTTTTGGGAGTTGATGCTGCATCGGCAGTTTCCGGCACTGCCCCTTGTCTTCACTAGTCTACATGGCTCAAACGTTGAGCTTGTATGTGCACTTCTGAAAACCCATGAATCCAGAAGTAAAAAAGAATTAAATCCTGATTTAATTGTAGCTTCTGGGTTGGGTTTTGACCTACCTCGACATAACAATTAAATCGTGATTTAATTGTGTTTCTTTGCGTTTGACTGGAAGACAATTAAATCATGAGTTAATGGTGCAGCAAAGACTTGTGCTAATTGGTACCTGTTTGCACCATTAAATCATGATTTAATTGCACTATTATTATTGATATTACTATTAGTCTTATTATTACTATTACTATTAGTCTTATTATTCCTATTACGATTAGTCTTATTATTACTATTACTATCAGTCTTATTATTATTAGTATTTTTATTTCTATTATTTTTGTTATTCCTATGATGATTATGTTTACTACTATTATTATCCTTATTCTTCTTCTTATTATTATTTTCTTATTATCATTATTATTACTATTACTATTACTATTACTATTACTATTACTATTACTATTACTATTACTATTTTATTACTATTACTATTACTATTACTATTACTATTGCTATTTCTATTACTATTACCATTACTATTACTATTGCTATTGCTATTGCTATTGCTATTGCTATTGCTATTCTTCTTCTTCTTATTGTTACTACTATTATTATTATTACTACTATTATTATTATTACTATTACTATTATTATTACTATTATTATTACTATTACTTTAGGGGGAACAATTAAATCGTGATTTAATTGTTGAAAGGTAGGGGGGAACAATTAAATCGTGATTTAATTGTTTCTGCGGGTTGGGATCGTCTAGCAGAAACAATGAAATCCTGATTTAATTGTTTTCCTTGAGAAGCTTGCCGGCATGGCATGCTGCGTCGCGCGACGTCAACAGGCAATTAAATCGAGAGTTAATTGTGCTGGACCTAAAGGGGCGTCGAGCCGGCCCGAGGCCGGTCAATTAACTTCAGAGTTAATTTTCCTTAACTCTTGGATTCACTGTCTTCCCCAACTTCTGGGAAGTTCTCCTCAATCCGCGAGGATTGCTGAGGGAAGTTCTTGTCTGCTCCTGAGGCTTTCCCAATAAGTTCCCACCCGCGAACAGTTGAAAAAAAACCCTAAACTTTACTCAGCCCTAAACCCATCTAAACCTTGAATTCCCCCCTCCCCCCCCCCCGGAAACCTTGAAACCTTGGCCGCTTCCCGCCCAATGACGTGGTCAGGGCACATGCAACAATGGAGCCCAATGCAAGCATTGCTGGAGACTTAGCTTCTTCGCAGAAAGCGCAAAAGATTAGAACGAGGTTGTTGAATCAAAATCGAGTCTGCTTGTGTGGGTCCCACAGCCGAGTAGCCTCACCGGCGAAACAGCAGCTAGATTCCCAGAGAAAGTCCGAGGATGTTGCTGCCCCAGTGCCATGGTGAGGCCGGACAAAGAAAAATCTCGGATATGCGAAATCAAAACCTGCGTGAAACAGTTGTCAGCCAAAATCTGGTCGCCATGAACCCGCTGAGTCGGAACAGGCGTGAACAGGTGTAACGGTGCGACAATGCGCGAGGGCTGGGCTTTTTCAATTCATTCTGGGCCGAGCCCTACGTAGCACCCCGGAACTCTGTCCAGAGCTCTGGGCACTTGTCACACCCTTTCATCAGCCTGTCCAGCGCCGAGCGCCGAGGGGTCAGGAAGTGACAAGGACCCTTGCGGTCTTCATTGGGACTTGCCCTCTCTGCCATCCAAAAATCCCCATCTGCATGAAGGAGCTTAGGGAAACTCCTCTTCCGGGGCCTGTGTCGTTGGACCTATGCATTTGTTTGCTCGCCGCTTGCTGGCCTTTCAGGCTGCTGTGATTCGTCCTGCTGCAAAAGGTTTATGTCAACTCGCATTGGTAGCACTCACCAGAGGAGTATTTTTTTGTCTGAGTCCTAAACCCTGCGCTCGGTCAAGGTGGAACCAACAGTTCGGATCGTACAGTGTCCTGCAGCCCACGAGCCCGAAGAGTGCGTTTTCGTCACAAGCGGCCCAGGAAGTGGTGAGGGTAAAGCTCCTTATAGGGGTCGGAATAATTTCTAATAGCATTCCCTTATGGTCCCTTTATCAATATGCTATAAAGACCTCAAACCCTATTCTAATTTATGGCCAGCTCGCTGAGTCTGCGACGCATGCACTTAGGCCATATCCGTGATGTTAACGATGTTATCCGGGCCTGGGCCTCAGTGCAAGATGTACCGACCAACAAAAATGTAACGGATGCGCTGAGCTTGTTCCATGTGCTGACAGCGTATGCCGATGTGGGAAAACCAGGCGTTAAACAACGACGTGGCTGCGTGGCGCCAAGCATGAGTTTGCGAGCATGTTTCATGCATGCGGGAATACAGAACATATACATATATATGTATAATATGAGATAATATATATATATAATGTACAATATAAAATATGTAATATATAAGATATAATATATAATATATGATAGAATATATAATATATAATATATAACATATAATATATGGTATGTTGTATATAGTATATAGTACATAACATATCATATACAATATGTAACATAAAATAAGTAATATATAGTATATAACACATTATGTAGAATATATGAACTTTAATACATAAGATGCGATATAATATATAGTATATATTATATATTATATACAACATGCAATATACCACTATATATATATACAACAATAGATAATAAAAGAATATACAACATAGTATATACAAAAATTGCAAATATAATATAACAAATAATATATAAATATATTATATGGTTATAATATTCAATATTTGATATAACATATATATATATATCATATTTTTTCAATATATAATTAAATATATAGTACATAGTATTTAATATATCATTAGCATATAACATATAACTTATAAACGTAATTTATAATACATAACTTGTAATATATATTATATAATATATAAGTTAAATAATATAATATATAATATAATAAATATATAAATATATGTCATATATAATTATATATATATATTATATTTTATAAATATATAATATATAATATTTATTTAGTGTCTAATATAATATATCATATAATATATATAATATATAAATATAATATAATATAATTATATAAATATAATATATTATATATTATATATATTAAGATAATATATCATATATAATGTATAATATATTATATATTATACATAATATTTTATATATGATGTATAATATATAATATTTAATGTCTAATATCTAATATATCATATATAATATATAATATATAAATTTAATATATATGATATTCAATATGATATATATATATATATATACATATAATATATCATATTCAATACATTGTGAAGTCGACCGGTTCTGGACTTGCACTAAGCCAATGCAATCACAGCCCGGCCACGCTGTTTTACGACTTCGCGAGTTCAAGCACTTGTGCAGCTACGCCTGAGTGCGTCCGGTCGGACCGCACAGCAACCTAAGAGCTACTGTACGACACTACCGTGCTCAAAGGCACAAGCTCGGTACTTGAGCCAAAATTGGCATTGAAACGAATTGCAAACCTACACATGCAAAGAAAACTACAGTACTGGTTCTGGCAGCTCTGCACATGCAACGTGCGTGCTTAGACCTGCTCACATTCGCCCCTCAGCCGAGGCTTCCAGCTCATCTCGAGCTCGGAGTGCAGCAGGCACTCGCGCTGAACACAGAAAGGGAAGGGAGAGGGTGTCGCGTGCGCGCGGTGGTCCGCACATCATGAGCATTGGCATGCGGCAGGGACGCTAGCCCGCACCACCACACGAACGCACGACGACGGCAACCCTCAGCAACCCTTAACCACCCTTTCCCAGGAGGTCCTCACCCTTTTGCTGGTGGGCGAGGCTCTTGAATCCTCGAGCTGGTCTCTAGCTGCCAGTACGCAGACTATGGTACAAATGGTACACTGTACACTACCGGTCCTAAGCTACGGCTACGGCTACTCACCTATCCGGAACTACCCTACGGGCTACCAGACTCAGTGAGAGCCGCGCACATGGCTCGTGCCGCAGGCAATGCAACTCACACGCGCTTCGGCGAGCGCATTGCCGCGACCAGGACACGGTCCGCAGCACCTGCAAAAGAGCACTCTCAGCACGAGGGGCCACAGGCAGGGCGGAGGAGAAAAGTGCGGGGAATGCAAAATGGGCAGGTTTCCAACCTGCCGCGGCTTTTCGCCCGCAGTCAAGCAAAGAAAGTGCCAAAAGGTTGGCGATGCAACGTGCCGTGCTGCAACGCCTGCTCTGATAATGCGTGGATGCATACCACGCCGCGCCATCTGGCCGCAGCCTACTCGATACCCTGTGGAGCAGTGTTGAGGGCACGAGTGGCGTTGCCAGCAACGTTGGAGCTACTGGCTCGCTCCAACTGAGGGCGCCTTGCGACCGCCTCATCGAGGGAGAATGCCTCAGCCGACACCCTCTGGAAATCCTCGATGTAGGACTGTGCGACGGGGTGCGTCTTGGGGATCTCAAGCTTAAGCCCTGCCTCCGCATTGGCTTTGCTGCTTGTGGTAAAATTGAGGCTCCCAATCAGCACCACCGCGCCATCAGGCCGCAGTAGGCAAAGGGCCTTGGCATGGTGCAGCCCTTGAATCCCGGTACCTACTTTAGCCCCGCGGCCGTCGCGAGCATAGGCGTCGCGCACGGATGTGCCACAACCCACCTTCACCTCGGCACCTGCCGCCGCCAAGCGTTTCAGCGCTTGCCACTGAAGTTTGGTGCGGTGGCATTGTCCCATGTCGGCGACAATCCGAACGCTTGCGCCCTTGCCAAGCGACGCTTCGATTGCCTCGATGCAGGATGGGCAATCTAAGCTGTACGCCCGGATGTAGATCACATCCTCTGCTGCTCCAGACCCAAGCAGCGTTTGGGCGGCCTGAACGTATGGCCCGCCCGCAAGGAATTCCGCTTCTTTGACTGGAGAACTCCTAGCGGGGGCTGGGCCCTTGTTCCTCCGGCTGGGTGTGCGCGCCACAGTGGCAGTGGCGGCACGTTGCACGGAGCCGGACTGTGCGTGGGCTGCGCTCGCTCTATCTGCTGGGGCCGCGGCCAGGTCACGACCCGCGAGCCCCTGAAAGCAGGAGAGCCCGCGGCTCTTGGCCGCAAGTTGGGAGAAACATCCTTCACTGTTCCCCAAACCCAACACAACCTTACCCTTAGCCAGGGCTTCGGAGGCGGTACTCCGAATGGAGTCTGTGAGCGCAGGACCCGCGCCTCGCTGGGCCGCGTGCAAAAACCCTAGGGAACGAGCGGTGTCCATTGCGGCATCGCAATGCCCGCAACGTCCCTCTGCCAGGTAAGCACGACAGCCACAGGCAGCTGTCTCCTCCTTGAGGTGCACCCAAACCTTATGGGTCACCCCTTTCTTGGAGCTCGCGACCTCAAACGTCGCTTCAGAGCCAAGGAGTTGAGACAGCCGCGCCTCAGGGGCCGCGGTGTTGCCATGTCGCATATGCGCAATGCGATTGGCAACGGCACGACTCACGTACCACAGAACAGCGCCGCACAAAATCACTACTACCAGAGTGATGGCTGTTCCGGCGACCCACACGGTCCGCCTGGCCCCATGACCGATTTCCTCGACAACGTCGGCCGAAACCGTTGCAACCGCGTGCATGGAGTCCTCGACAACATGCACAACCCCGCGGTGCAACTGCAAGGCAATCGGCGCCGACGCTGCAGCCGCCAGGCCCCACCAGCCGTTGATGTTCCCGTTGAGGGCGTGCATCAACCGATTGAGGAGCCCGCGACCCAGGAAAAAGGGGGTCCGCGGCGGAAGCGGAACACTTGGCGGCGGCCGGGCCGACCCGCACGGGAAGGCTGGGACCCAGCTTGTGCTTGGGCGGGGTTGGAGCGCGGCAACAATGCCCGCGGCGAAAGCGCCCCAGGCGTACTTGCCCCTCCCCTTGGGCTTGCCCTTGGCATCGGACTTGCCTCTGCCCTTCGGCTTGCCCTGGCCCTTGCCACGGGCGTCTGCCCAAGCACTCCAAGGGTCGCGGCCCTTGCCGTACGTCGCCTCTTCGCGACGTCTCTTGCCGCCCCTCTTCTTGTGTTTGTTTCTAAGAAGAGGTTGGATGGTTTCTTGGTCCATCGCACGATTGGCCAGAAGGATCTCGTACTCCAGCTCGTCCTGGCTGCTCTCGGAGCCCGAGTCCCTCTCTTCGCCGCGCCGCGGATCAGGGATCCCGCGGGAAACGACCTCTGCCAAGCGGAGAGGCGTGCTGCACCGAAAGCACAGCTGCCTGAATGAAAGGTTCCATTCATAGCAGTTAGGGCACTGCCACCCTGCTATGCGGAGCGCCTCGCTGATGTGATCATCGCGCTCTGCCTTCTCCGCCTGGCGCCGCTCCCGCTTCTTGGCGCGCTCGGCCGCCTGCGCCTCCTCGGCCGCCTGGAGGGCTTCAGCGAGTTCCTCATCGCTGAGAAGCCTCGCGGCATCTGCCCGCGCTTGCTGTTCTTCAAGCTCTTCGGCAGAAAACCTCCGCCGCCATTGCTCCGGCGCGGTTTGAGGATCTACCTCCCACCACCCGATGTCGATCCCGTTGATCCATCGGCCGTCGCACGGGGCGCCCGCGTTCGGGCCGCCCGCGTGCGTGGTGAGGCACTGGTCCTCGGTGACCGGGTTAATGGCTTCGCAGAAGAAGCACCGCCAGCTGCCGTAGGGGTAAAAGCGGCCTTCGACGCAGGCTCGGTTGGCTGGGAGGGCGACATCGTCCGCCTCATCCGCGGTGCCCTCCTCCATCTCAACCGAGACCTCCTCGTCTTTGACAACCTCAGCTTCCTCCTCCTGTTCCTCCTTGACCAGGGGCTCTTTCTCCTCCCGGCCAACTTTGAGGTGGGACTCAGTGCGAACCTCGGCGCGCATCAGAGTGACGTCAAGGCTGTCCGCGGCTGGGTCGCCCGCGAAGAAGGAATCGATCTCCTGGGCATGGAGATCGTCAAGAGGCGTCACCAGGTCTGGCGAATAATCCCGCTTGGAACGACGCTCTGCAAGGCGTTGCTGAACGTCGCCCTTCGGCGGCTCGAGGGCCCGCCCGTGCGGAGCGGCTTCCCGCGGAGGTCTCGGCTCGGCCTCCTCTTTGGGCTCGCTCTTGGGCGTGGACCCTCCACTGCTGCTCTCTGGAGCGGGATCCAGCTCCGGGTCATCGCGAAGCCACCCCGGCGGATGACTACCACCATAAATGTGGTGCGACCCGTCCTCAAGCTGGATTCGGTCCCCTCTCTTCAGGAGCGGGACCTTCGAGTGATCGTACCCGTTGGCTTTGTGGTACCGAATCACTCGGAGCATG